CTATTTACAGAGTACAAAGATGTATGACAGCTTATAATTAGTTTACAAAAAGAACATTTTTTATAAAATTTTTTTTTCTATTTTCAATTAACTTTTTTATTCTTTATTCAAAATCGCTCGATATCTAATTTGGCAAAATTTATTTTATTAAAAAATCCCACGGTTTCTGTTAGTTGGGTCATATTCCACTTCAAACTGCTCAGTTTGCCTAAAAAAATTCCGTTTTTCCCCCTTTTTCAAACGGTTGCCTAGGGGCCTGTGGGAGGAGCCCAAGGGGGAAAGGGGTTAACGTCTTTTTAGAAAGAAAGTCCCCTTTCTAGTGGGAAGGGTTTGGGGGCACTTAGGGATTATAATTCTCTTGCTGTTTTGCGAAGAAAAGGAGCTGAACACCTTTTGCAGAGAACACCTTTGTATATTTTTAATGCTGACTGGGTTATATCCTATCTTCTTTTGTCTCTCATTCTTTTGCATATTTTGGAGTTTGACAGCTGAACTCCGCCATTTAATTTGCATATGCAACCAAAGTCAGACACATGATTTTGAAGGTGTTTTTATTTAATAAATGGTGATTAACTGATTAATATTAAAGTCATAAGGAAAGTTATAACTCATCAAGTTAAGTGTAAAGTGAAGGAGAATATAAAAATATATTGGTGAAGTGGCTTCTCTCAGGAGAATAGGAGTGATAAATGTACGCTAATTTCCGAATTTTACAAAAAAAGGGCAAATTTCTAACCCAATTTGTAAATAAAATAGTAATTAAAAATTACAAAAGTGGGTAATAAAATAATGTTTAGACCCTTGGCTACAAGTGTGTGGAAATTTTTTTTTTGGATCGGATCACCCCTTTGGACGCAATACCTCGAAATAGTTCGGTAACGTACTAAACAGTACCCAAAGTAACTGTTATTTATGTATACCATGTCCCCACCGGAACTAACCACGTAGTTATGGCTATTGAGTTGGTTTCCCGATAAACCACTTGATTTAGCGTAGTTTCGCCACATAAAAATTACAGCACTTATACCTTGGTTATAAGGCACGGGACGAATCGTAACAAATTGCGGCGAATTCGTAAGGATCTATTGATTTTAGATGCTTCCGTTTTACATTGCGTTCAAGTGCATTAGACTATGTTCAAACAGGCCAATTAGCTGAGGCAATTAAGCTTTAAATTGCGGATTGTGTTTGGTGTTCACACACACGTCTTTGTTATTGATTTTATTATCGATTATTTATCGATTTTTTTATCGATATTTTTATCGGTTTTGTCATCGATTTTGCTATCGCTTTTGTTATCGCAATTTTTATAGATTTTGTTGTCGATATTTTAATCGATTTTGTCATCGTTATTTTTATCGGTTTTGTTATCGATATTTTTATTGATTTTGTTAACGTTTTTGCTGTCGACTTTATTGTCGCTTTCGTTATCGATATTTTTATCGATTTTTCTATCGATATTGTTATCGCTTTTGTTATCGATATTTTTATCGATCTTGTTATCGATTTTGTTATCGGCTTTTTAATAGATTTTATTATCGACTTTGTTGTCGGTTTTTTGGTAGATTTTGTAATCGATTTAGTTATCGGTTTTTATCGATATTTCTATCGATTTTGTTATCGATGTTTTTATTGATTTTGCTATCGATATTATTATCGCTTTTGTTATCGATATTTTTTTTCTTAGTGTGTGCTTTCGTTTTTGACTTAGATATGCTCTTAACCATACCACGTATTCTACGTTTAAATTTAGCGGCTGTATCTCGAAATAGAAAAGTACTCCTTTCTCCGAGTCAGAATCTGCCAACCCTAAATACTGTTGACGCGAAATTTATAAGTTTGGGAATTTTCGATAACATATTTATTCCGAAATTGACATGAAAGAAATGATGTTGCCGATTAGCTACCACGGCAATAAATCGGTGAGGCGGCAATTTGTTGCCATTAACGATTGTTGCCTATTTCTCATGTTTTGCATGGTAGACATAATGCATGTATGTATGTATGTATTTGAGAATACATATGGACTAAACAACTAAGAAATCACGTTATTTTTGTATTTCGCAGTTAATTAGCATCCGGAATTTTATTTGATATTAGAATTGCGGCTATGTGCGCTTCAGTAGTGACTTTTCAAAAGGCTATTTGCCTAATTTATGTATAAAGGCAGCTGCATGAAAAGTTCGAATTAATATCTACCAAATGAAATTTACAGGTTTATTGGTAAAAAAGGATGTACGAAGCTATAAAAACATTTTCTAACCACTAAATAAGTGGGAGTTGCAAGCGCACCACACACAAAGCCAATATCGAAAGCCAGCCCACAAAACAATCTGGTATGGCACAGGCGGCATTTTCGCATTTTCCGCGAATCAGTCACGCATGCTCCGGCGCAAAAGCGTTGGCTATATAAAATCAAGAAAAAATAAAGCAACAAGCAGATAAACACGTTGCAAGATATGCAGACCAACGGTTGTGCTCTCTAATGTGTGGGCGTGAATTACCATGGTGTGGAGCAGGGATGAAAAATGGAAATTTCAGATTGTACCTAAAATCATAAAATAAATGCACCTAAATGAGACAGAGTGTACCTAAAAAAAGTTCCGTCATTCGTTTGAACATTTTTTTTATTAAGTTTATTTAAAATATGTATGAATACAAAAGATGGATGTACTTTCAATTTGTTTAGTTTTTTTTCTTTTTTAAACTGAGCATATATCTAAAGACTATAGTCTAAAGAGAATCGGACAAGTTTTGACTGAAAAATATTGGCGACAAGAACAAAAAAAAAACACACTTTGCGAAGTCTTCCTTTCTTATCCAGCTTTTTATAAAACACCAAAAGGAGGTTTGTTCCTTTTTTCCACAATCGGATATTAACTTCGAAGCAAAAGTTCCGATCGGATTGTGAAATACCATATAAATTCCGAGTCGGAATTGAAGTCCAATTCCGACTCGATTCTGACTCAGATTGCAGGACAGGGCTGATAATGATTTTTTTTTTAATTTCTTCCTTTTGACTACTTTTCTTTAGAATTGTTTATTCTTCAAAATGAAGGCAAAGCTTCTCCCACGCCTACAAATAAATATCCAGTAATTGTACCTAATGTACCTTGCAGTTATCAAACGTCGGAAAAAGGTACAATTGTACCTCCTTTTTCATCCCTGGTGTGGAGGTTATTTGGTGTGCACATGCGCATAGGCGCTGCGACTTTGCCGCACATTTTTTTCGCTCTCTCCTAAAAGTAGTTTAATAAAGTATGAACATTGCCGCAGCGTAGTTAACAAATGTTACTGCTGCTTGCATTTGACTGCCGTAGTTATGTTCCCTTGGCTGATTTATTGCAGTCTCGACAAACGGCAACAACAACAATGTACATATAATAGTAGTGGGACCAGCAATATTTGGGTCGAAGTACACGACCACGCATAAAAATTTAGAAAATGTTTGCATATTTTTCATAAAAGTCGTAACTCGCGCAAAGCTAAAGTTTAAGTAATTGGAGCTGTGTAGAAATGTAATGTGGCTTTAGTCGTGGCCAGTGCTGCCGTTGAGAATTTTCAGAAAGTCGCAAATAAGGGGTAACAGCCTCATCATGTATCTCGAACGATAGGGGACACGAACGATTCATCTGCAGGCGAATTCGTCCCCGCTTATAATTTTGTAAGTCGAACGATTGCCTTCGTGTAGACTTTACATCGATTACGTTGTATTCGTCTAGAACAGCATTGCTAAATGAAATATCAAGGTATTTTTATTTATTTCCTTTAGAATTTTATTATTATTTATTTGTTTGGTACACTTTATAGGAAATGGGCATCACCGTCAAATGTTATTTACTATTTTTTCCATTCATTTAAGAGATTTTTTGTGTAGCTACTGGTGGAATTAGTGGGCCCTGGAGCGGCGAGTAGTGCGTCAACGAACGTTAGGATGATACCGAATAGGGGTAGCCCCTTGAATTGCGTATCGTTGCTGTGCTACTTGGTGCTTCGGGCTTTGACATAGAAAGCCGTGAATGCCGAAAGGAACCCCACTTGTCA